AAGGAAATTTAAGCATAGAAACAGAAAAGGGCCAAGATATACCTTACTATCTCCTGAAATTCCTCTAGGATCTAGGATCTCCTTCTTCTCTTCTTGATCTACCTTCCTTTATCTCTCAAGATCTTCAAAGAACACACCAAAATCACACAAAATGCAAAGAGGACTCTAGGGTTTCGAGAATAATGCTCTGAGGGGTGATGGGGGCTGACTTGAGGCCTCAAAAGTTGTTTAAATAGGGTGCAAACCCTTGAAATTAGGGTTTCATCCAGACTGGCGGACTCACTGAGTCCGGAATATAGACTTGCCGAGTTGTCAACTTAAACGTGCTCGAAATCGCGACTCTACTCGACGAGTCCAGCTACCAACTCGTCGAGTTCCCCTTAAAACTTGAAGAAAAATGACAATAAATAAAATATAAATATCATATCAGAATTGGGGTGTTACATTTTTGGGGATGAATCGGTTTTGAACCGAACCGGTTTGGGGGTGAACCGGTTTTGACTACGTTGACCGGAACCGAACTGGTTTTCTGAACCGGTCCGGATCAGAAAAAAAAAACAGTTTTTTGTTTGCCTACCCCCAACCCCACCCATTCACATTAGCTTACCTATCCCATAATTTTTCCCTATTTAAATAATAGTCTTTTTAGGTAGAACATAGACCAAACATGTAACAAAAACAAACAGTGAGGACAAAACGCGTAACAAAAACAAATAGTAGGGATCTTCTGAGTTAAAAAAATAAGTTAGGGACTAAACGCAAAAATCACCCCAAACCATAGGGATCATTCATGTAATTACTCTTAAAAATAATCAATATATTATATTTTCTTAGTATACGAATTATTATATAAAATTTAACAATAACATTATTGATATATTTAAAAAAAACATGTAAAGATTTCAATTATAAAAATGATTTAGTCAATATATATTTAAGAGTTAACTAACCTATAAAGGCACCAAGTTACACAAGGGATTTCTTTTTTCTTTCTTTATTCTTATACTTATATAAAATAATTTGTTTTCAAATAATTTCTTTCACTTTTTTAAAGAAAAGAATTACGGTAAGCTTTGGTTTGAGTTTTCATTTCAAACATGTTTACAATATTTATGTTTAGTCTTCCGTTTGGTTTGAGTTTTCATTTCAAACATGTTTACAATATTTATGTTTAGTCTTCCGTTACTCTGTGCAAGTTTGATGAATATATTGTTTTGGAGGCAACACTTTCTGTCGTTCTTAAAGGATTTTATTTCTAAAAATAATGTGAAATCTAAGGAGTCTAAAGTTAAAGTGGACCATCATTGAGTAATACTCAATTTTAGTTTCGAATTTTTTAAATTCATTAACAAACTAGTTCTTTAGTTAGCTTGACATCTTGCATAAAAGTGTAGGAGCTTCTGTCACACAACAAGAGCAACTTAAAGGCATTGAAGAAGATAGCAATCATTTGTATCAACCAAGTCGAACAATTATGCAAAATTCATCTTTATGTCATCTTTCGTGTTTCTTTTGTAACAAATATTTATGTTTTGAGTAATTAGTAGCACAATATTTAGACTTATTAAGCCTTCTGGAAAATATTTTAAAATTGTTGTAAAACAAATTAAGTTTTAATTTAAGTAAAACTTTTGTGCTTTCTATTTCTTATCTTAATTGTTTTTTATTCTTCTATATTCTATTTAAATTTATTATCTTAACTATTTTTTTATTCAAATATAAATGTTGTGGTAAAAAGGTCCGCTAAAAATGCTTTTATTTTATTTTATAGTGGCATAAAAAATATGCCACAAAAACTAAAAGTGTTATAGAAAGTCCCACTAAAATTCAAAAAATATTATTACGACACAATCTAGAAGTACCAATAAAGTCCTTTAGTAGCACCCGTTTTTAATTATACTTTTTTTTATGCTGCTATTCTTCATAGGGCTTTTAGTGACAATTTTTATTTTGTTTTGTTTTTTTTTTTTTTTTTGGTTTTTAGTGATATTTTTTATACCACAATGTAATTTATTTGTAGTGAAATGAATAATAATTATTATGATAATCAATCAAATAAAAGAAGAATCCCAAAACACCATCAAATATGACAAGCACCACCAAAATGAGAAACATTCCAATAAAATGCTAACTCGTAGTTCTTAATACATATTAGCCTCAAATGTTTTTTACATCACCAACCAGGCTTTTCAATCCCCTATGAAAAAATAGTACTACCAACAAAAACCTCGTTAAAAGAACCCCATTCAAAGGAACCAAGACTGCTTTTTCTTACATTTGATAACATAGTACAGTCAAACAAATAAACAATAATGATTAGCATAACCACAAAAGTAAATCGATATATTTTTTGTCGACTATCCTTACATTAAAACACGGGAGTGTCGTATAGTATGAACCACAATTATATAACTATTAGAAAATGTTACCTTCGGTTGAATTATTTTTTCTTTGCCCACCAAATTATCATATGATATTCATTTAACTTCAGTACATCATTAACTTTTTATCTCTGCAAGTAAACAATTCTCTAAATTAGTTGTATAAGTACACAAATAACCTAGATGTTATAAACAATAAATCAAACGAATGAATTGATGCAAATGGTATATAAATGAATAAAAATATGAGAGTTAAATCATAGCATCCCCTGTTCGTGGCAAACATCAAGCTTGCTGTGCTTCTGTATGGCTGTCATATATACCTTTAAAATCAAATCATAAACCATAGATGAGAAGTCTTTCAAAGCACAAGATTTTACTTTCATTACAACATAATTGACCAAATAGTCACGCATATGTAAAATTTAGTTGATCTCGTATCAAGTGGTTATTAATAAATTTTCATATTTGATTAAATTTTGATATGATACTAACCATTAGATTAAAATTTAGATTAAACATCTATATAAATTCACAATTACTTTATTATTCCTAAGTTGGCGATTTTTTTCATCTTCTACAATAACTAACAAAAAAAATCAAGAAATACATTTCAGCTCAAAAAACATCTACTTGCAATTAAATATTCTAATATTTGGTTGTTTCTAAAAATATTAATATTATTTTTAAAGTTTCAAATTTGAATATACATATATGATATTTTTACCAATTGTACCTATGTATAATAACTCTCATCGTCCCATTTTCTTCGGTCTACCTCGAAACCCTTCAAAAACCAAGAACAATTTTCAATTCCTACTAAATTACATAATATGGTCACATTTCAAAGGTTAATTAAATGCATGATATTGACATAAACATCACAAATCATACAAACAACATGACACATAATTTTCCTAAATTTCACATAAATAGCGCCTATAGATCACATAAACAACATACATATTATTTACCAAGCGAACAACTTTTAATCATTAAGCAACTTCTCATAAATCTAATCAGGTAAAAAACACTGTGGTGTTGTTTGTTTTTTGAAGCCAAAAATTCTGAAGTCTGCGGACCACATCTATTTGTTTTTAACGTCTGCACACTACTACAAAATAACACATAGAATACTGTTAAAATGACATATAGAATACGATTTTGCAGCCGTACTCTATAAGGGGGGTTTCCTATTCGAGCATGTAATACAATACGGTTGTATAACCGTACTCTATAATCATCATATAGTACAGTTTTCTAGATAATACAATACTGTTGCAAAACTGTACTCTATAATCATCATAAAATACGGTATTTTAGATAATGCAGTACGGTTGCAAACCAGTACTCTATAGTTATTATAAAATACGGTTTAAGGGTTTTTTAAAAGTAACCTTATTCTTTGACAAAACACATTGAATACTGTTTTTTCGATGTAACCGTACTCCTTATAAAATATCATACAGTATAGTTTCTTATTGCCAAAAGACATTCTAAATAAATATATTTCATAAAGTAAATACAATAATTACACTTTCCTATAAAGAAAACATGCCTATAAATAATTTATACACACAAACATTTCATGAACAAACATAATGTATATAAAAGTCAAAACAAAAGCATGATTAGTCATTAATTTCCAAAATTAACAATATCCAATTCAAACATGATTTCCAATAAACGTAATTTGTCCATCCTAATCAACGAAAAATTAAATATATAAAAAGACAAATAGATCCATCCGGTAGATGTCAAACTCCATAATCGCAGTCACATACCTGCGACATAAGAGAAGAAAAGAAACTAAAAGTTGCAACTAATGGAAAAAATGGAACATATAGTTGTCATGAGAAGAAAAAACTGAGTTAATTGCAGGAAATAGCAACATAGTTTCATTTATTTGTTTATTAAGACATCCGACTACCATTTCTTCCTATTGTTATACATTGAGACATATATCCCATAATAGAGAGATCCTCCAAATTCAATGTATTTTTTACAATATATATTTTTCGTAGTTTAATGTCCTAATAAGATAAAGATATGAAAGTATGATGCTATAGTAGGTTCATATTTTAAAGTACAATGTCTTGATGAGTTTTTTTTTAGTTACAAGGTTGTATAAAATGAAATGCAAGTGCAGTGTTATAATAATCAAGTACATTAAAGTAAAATGTTATAATAAACAATTAGGTAAGAATAACTAACCTTTCAAAGGGGCACTTGACTCAAATACTTACTCTCAAACCTTGAACTCCACATAAGGATGATTTCATTTAACACCTAATCCGGAAATGGTTTTTTATCGTTCCAGTTGTTCTATATATAAATTAAAAAATAATTTATAATTTAATAATGAATATTTAACATATTAGACAAATTGCACAAATATTTTAAGATACTTACTTTGTTTGGGAATTTATTTTGTCGAGTCAACACGAACTCAAACATCCATCTCATGACATAAAAACCGCACTCCCAACTTGATGGTTGTTGGTTGCACTAAAAATATGAACAATAAAGGATTAGAGAACTTTTACTTTGAACCTAGGGTTTTGATCTGATGATGGAACAAGTTCTGTGTTCTAGGTATCAATTTTTAATAAAAAAAAACTAACAAGAAGCAAGTTCAAGGTACCCATGAAGTACTTTTACCTCGACAAGTGTCCATTTCATTGGATGTGTGTCGATATCTTCCTTAAGCCTTGCAACAGCCCTAAAATGAAGATCAGAAAAAAAAAGCCATAGAAAGAAATAACAGTCAGAAATACAAAAAGATTTCTTACTCTTCAACATATTTCACGATTATGTAGCTCTCCACGAGCTTCTTATCCGGATTTATTTGGGAATCCAGGATATACCCTGTGCCTTGGTTAGGGCAGATTACTAGAAGCATCCAATGCAATCTAGTAATGTTAATACATTTTAGTATACACAATAAAGAAATAAAGCCAATAAAAATCAAAGCAGTAAGATTTAATACCCTTGCCAGTAGGGTGAGACAAAAAACTGTTTGTCTTTATGGAAGCACATTGCATCAACAATGTAACTTACAACACCCTCGCCATTTGACTCGCATATTGTTGCCTGAGTCTCACTTGGGGAAATGAAAGCACATATGTTCACTTTATTCCCACCACGTGTTTCAAGCATTGAATGTAACATGCTACAAACCAGAAAATATACATTATAAATGTAAATACTATGAACGAAAATAATTTAAACATTGTTGTTTGTACTTACATTTGAAACCATGTTATGACACTAATATCAAGCCATTGTTTATTCAATAGACGTAAAATCTCCTTGGGGTAAATGTATGTTTCGATTTTCTGAGCTCCAAGGATCCCGGGTTCGGCTTCAACATAAATTGCATCATCAGGAGCATCACGATTCATCAAACATCTATACATTCTTTTCATGAGAAGGGGCATTTTTTCTAGGTCGACTTGTTTATTAGAATTATGTGGTATCAAACTTTCTTTTGCTGGCTTGGTCTTCTTCATAACACCCTTCGAGATTATTGGCACACTCTTGGTTATGCAAGGTTGCTTTGTTTTTGTACAAACATTAAAAAACTGTTTGATTATCACATATTGGTACAATTTAACATATACATATAATAACTAATAAGGCTGGAGAAATTACCGGGTCGATAGTTACCGGTAGAGAGGAACATCTTTTATCTTGTTCAACATTTGGCTTGAACTGTGAGGACTGCTCACAAGTTAGATGTGTGCACAACTATTTATTACTCTAATTCTAAACAAAGTTAATGATAATTCTAAGTACATGAATGATCTTAATTGCATTCCTTGGCCACTGAACTATACCATGAAGCGCCTCACACAGCTTACTTGCTTCTTCGGTCGAGACGGGAAGAGGGATACAATCATATTGGTCATAGATCTTATCTATGGATACCCTAAAATGATTTGCATTTAAAGGAACTGAATGTATTTGTCCATTCCCATATGGAAAGACCATCCCTTTTGCACATTTCTGGTTCATCGTTTCGTATGGTATCACTAACTCGCAAGCAGTAGGAGTCTACAACATATAATGTATATGTTAATATGTCACACCCCCAAACCAAGGATGACGGAAACGTCCGGGGGTGGAGGACTTCATGTATAGTATCATAACCACAATTTCAATAGTAATTTAAGCAAACACAACCAACATATATATAATTGAAAAAGTTACATCACTTGTATGAATTACATGGTTCAAAATCAATTACAATATGTTGACAAAATATGAAAATTTTGATGCCTTAACGTCCCATCCTCAAAAGCACTTGATTATCTGTTTAGTGTTTTCCTGAGAATACAAGTTGTTTGAAAAGTGTCAACACAAAGGTTGGTGAGTTCATAAGCTTTTATTATAAAACTTAGTAGAAGTCTTTCACATGTAAATGTCGCGTTTGTTTCAGAAAAATCCGATATTTTCCTTGAAATCCGTAAAATGTAACCTTATAACCAAAGACCAAAATGTATAAGAAATCATCCTTACTTAGTAGAAATGTCGTGAGTTTGAAATGATATGGAAAGTAAATTTTTAAATCAACCTAAAACCTACTTCGGTTTTATGAAATCCCGTAAACTTTATGAATTGTTATCTCCCTAGGTGAGTCGCTATAATCATACTGTGACTATGTGAACCTGCCACAACGTTTCTCAGGCGTCGCGAAAATGAAATGACATTTGTCACCCATAGACCTGCAGGTCCCACTGTAGCTAGCAGCAAGGTGTGGGGTGTCAAACCCAATATAGATCTATATACAAGTATCACGTTCTCCCTCAAGGAGATTCAGATTATAACTACCAGGAATTATATCCCGCACTCGGACGTACGGGGAGAGAGAGAGAGAGTCTCACTATACAGGTTAACAAGTTTACGTGAAATGTGTGTGAATATAAATCTTTCTTGTATGAATGTACCCTTTTTGTACGATTGTGTTGAGTGATGTATCATAAACTATACCTATTATAGTTTATCTAAAATGTATGTAATATGTAGAAACTCTTTTATGAAAATGTATTAGTGTTATGAACTTATCAAACTAAACCTTTATAGTTTAATATACGTGTTCTAAAATGAATGAATAATATTTATTATGAATGACTTAGTTTCAGTTCATGATGATAAACTAACAAAGAAACACATTCAATAATTAGAACTTATGATTATACACTTTGCTCAACATATTACAAAGTGTTATGATATTTACATGCTGTTAGCTAACTTTAGCCATTCTGCCCTGTTTTGGAAAAATCATAGAAAAATCATACGAGGTCGAAAACTAGATCCGTAAATTCTGAGAGTTCACAAAATGTGTCTAGTTTACTCATAATTTTTATCACGATTTTGAAGGACCTCCAACTTGGGTGAATAAGTCCAAAATCACAGACTGATCCGGATTGTTGTTTGAAATGATAGGCAGTTTTGTAAAAATCACCATAAATTGTAGAAAAATCGTATGAAGATGTGCAAGTAGCCATCTTAAAGCTAAGAACTTGAACTATTTGCACCTTGTACAGTTTTGAAAACAAAAATGTTTAAGATGCCCAAAACAATCCGTGAATGGAGTTGAACTTTTCTGATGAAGGCTGTTAGAAAATTTTAGTTATGTTCTTGGTGTCTTAACTTGTATTCCCCCCCTGAAAACTTGAGAAAACATGAAAATGTAGGGGTATGAACTCACCTTAAGTGATTTCAGTAGATGATTGTTGAAGAATGGAAGTGTTTAATTCAAGAACACTTGGAGATGCCTTGAAGATTTTCGAGAATCTAACATTATAGTTATGGAGTTTGTGTAAGCAATCAAAGATTTGAGTAGAATGAAGTGAAATAATAATAGGGAGGATGAATTTTTACTTACTAAGAGTGGAGGAACACTTGAAATCAGCCTTGAATCTCGAAATTTGTGTAGAAAAAATTTGAGAGAAAAGTGGTGTTTGTTACTTAGTGGAATGAGAGCAAATGAGAGAAAATGAGGAGAGTGGATGTTTGTTCCAGCTCTAAAAACGTGGGAATGAGTGTAATTTGAGTTTAAGGGACATTGAAGTGACATAGGTAAGGTGGGGAGGTATGGCTGATCATAGAGTGGGTGTGGGGTGGTTGCTTGTGATATAAGTTAAGGCAAAGTCAACACTCCACCTTAAATAAATCCTCCATTAGATTTTTATCATTTAGATAATGATTTTTATTAAAATATGTTTAAATTATGAATATTTAGGGTTTATTATGTTAAAATATAATTTCTGGAGAAAATCCCGCTTTAAAAATCACGAAAAACGGGCTTAAAATGTTAAAAATATCAAAAATGGGCTAAAAGTGACAAATTTCCGAAATCTGGCCGAGGTTCGGCCTTCTGATGCTGAAACCGAGAGGAGGGAAGGCAGAAACCGAGAGGAGGGAAGAGAGAGGGTAGGAACCGAGAGGGGTGAAGAGGGAACAGAGAGTGCACGAGGAGACAGAGAGGAGAGAAGGAGCAGAGAGGCGAGAGGACAGAGACCGAGAGAAGAGAAGGGAAGAGACAGAGACCAAGCGACCAGAAGAGACAGAGAGTGAGAAGGCAGAGACCGAGCGACCAGAAGAGAGACCGAGAGTGAGAAGGCAGAGACCGAGCGACCAGAAGAGAGACCGAGAGTGAGAATGCAGAGACTGAGCGACCAGAAGAGAGACCGAGAGGGGCAGAGACCGAGGCTCAGTCTCGCATGCCTCAGCCAACAGAGGCTCGGTTCTAGTCCTAAGAGGCCTCTCTTCTTGGTTTCGGTTCCTAAAGCCTATTTTTCTCGTTTTCGCCCCGTTTTAAGCCGTTTTTGACCCGATTAAGGGTCGGAATGACCCGAATGATTCTAAAAAGTTACGGGAACTTTTGAGAGAGATTTGGGAGAGATTTCACATACTTGGAGAGATTTGGGAGAAATTTGACATTCTTGGAGAGATTTCTCATACAAAGAGATATTTTAGAGAGATTTCACATACTTGTAGAGATTTGGGAGAGATTTGACATTCTTGGAGAGATTTCTCATACAAAGAGATTTTTGAGAGAGATTTCACATACTTGGAGAGATTTGGGATAGATTTGATGTTCTTGGAGAGATTTCTCCTATGAAGAGATATTTTAGAGAGATTTCACATACTTGTAGAGATTTGGGAGAGATTTGACATTCTTAGAGAGATTTCTCATACAAAGAGATATTTGAGAGAGATTTCACATGCTTGGAGAGATTTGGGAGAGATTTGACATTGTTGGAGAGATTTCTCATTCCAAGAGATATTTGATAGAGATTTCAAGTGTGGCATTTATGAGTGTTTGGCTCCGCAATGCAAGGTTCTTGAGCCCCGTTAAGTCATGATTAAGGATCCCACACACTCCCGATGAGTATGCAACATGGTTTTTATCAGTTTAGTTCATTGATTAGCACTAGGGCTTAGGAAATTTTAACACAAGACTTTTCCCAAGTGATGTTTTCCCATTAATACAACAAGTTATACAGTATGAACATAACACAAACCCTAATACACAAGGTTTAATCGAGTTGACCGGTTTGACTTGATGACTTGACTTGACTCAAGATTGACGATTGTCACATAATATATGATCAAATATCTTGTATATCAGAAAAAAACACATGATTACCTTTATCCCATCCAACTCATCTGATACAGTCGAGACGACACTATTTTTCTTCAACACCGGACTGGTAATGTGCATGCCTTCATTCTTTGAGAGAAACTGTTGCATATATGTTTTCATCTCTTCCATCTGAGCATTCATCTCTTCTATCTTGGCTTCCATTTTGGCCTCCATCATAGCCTCCACCTCGATCTTCATCTTCTCCTTAATATCTTCCAAGTTATATTTATCATGGTTCTTCCTTTTTTCTTATCAACCCTAGGCATGGATTGTCTCAAGCCAACATTGTGCCCAACAGCCCTCGTACGACCTGGATGCTCGGGTCCTAATACCTCTGTAAGCACATCGGCTCCAGGTCCAGGAAACCAATCTCCATGAGATAATTGGGTATCTTTTTCAATCTGTTAGTCCAAATAAAATTGCAAGGGTAATTAAATCGTAAATAGTTTTAAAATAAATGATAACATTACAAAATGAATACTTAACTTACCAATTCAGATACCAAGGAGTAGAGATCAGTTGGTAACGAGTATATCCCTGTGGGATCACGTTTTAACCTAGCAAGGATAAAATTCCTTGCACGTTCACTTCTTATATTATGGAACTCCGTTAACTCGCCAGACTCCATCTCTTTTTCCCATTAAGGTTTCATACCACGATAACCACGTGAGCCTATCCGAGGCGGATACTTATTCAATTTTGCAGTCGTTGTAGCTTTGTTGCTTACTTCCTGGAAAGAAGTAAGTAGCAGAATTAGAAACATTGCAATATACTGTTATCATATAAAGAGGGCTACAGTGAGCCAAACCTGGAAGCTCGGTGATGTTTTGAGTTGAACAAAAGCGTTCCATGTAGGCTCATCTAGGTATGGATATTCAGGTACCGGATTTCTACCCTTCTTTAGGTAGTCATTAACAAGCCTGCTCTTGTAAGCCTTCCATGACTGATTGCAAATTTTTAGTACCTGTTTTTTGTGCCTATCATCTTCTATATTCCAATGTTTATGTTTTTTTTACAATAAAGTACAATAAATATTAGTAATATATATATATATATATATATATATATATATATATATATATATATATATATATATATATATATATGAATGTATGAATTAAATGAAAGTAGAATTAACAGGCTCACAAAAATACCTTAATGTTTAACCACAATTCATCGATTTCAGCCTTAGGAACTTCATCCCAACGCAATATGAGGATAGAAATCCTCGTCCTTACCATGACTCCACAATAATTGCTAAACTGAGATTGGGTCTCTCCGATATTTTGGCCTAGCTCATCAAATTCAATTTCCAAATCCCCTTTGTTTTTAGGTTTCCCCTTATCAGTGTCACACTTCTTTTTTTCCTTTGTGGTTGATCCATTGTATGCCTACAAAACCAAGTAACATAATTTCAGATATACATATTAAGGAAGCTGTTGTTAATGTGTATTAATGTGAAGAAGAAGGTGGTTCAGAAGTTAAAATAGGTGTTTGATGATAATTGTTGGCTTTTTCAAATTGAGAAGTCGATGTACTAACTTCAGTTTTTTCTCCTTCATCGAGCTCTGATAAACAAAAATCAAATTCTAATCCATCTTTGAAGCCTATCCGGTCGAACCGGAATACCAAATTTCAATTATATTTCTTATAACAAAATACTAAAGCCCTAACTTAAAGGTGACGAGTTACAATTTGTTATACGTACAGAAACCAGGAAAGAAAAGAACTTGAAAAAGTTTGATGCTATCACACTAATTTGTGACTGTATCTTGGGTTTCGTTCACGAAATGGGGGAAAATGATGATTACAAGAATTACCTGTCAAATGTTCTCACAATACGATTGAATTGTTCTCTGCTTTCGTCACAGTGGTTTGCTCTTCTATGCTCTCACAAAATTTTCTTTGATATCTATGGTCTCCCTGTCAACTGCATTCTCAAACCTTAAACCCTAAAATTGAATATAGCGGGGAAAAATACGTGCCTAAAATTGCTCCTACCATGATCTAATGGATCATGGGTTACTGATTTCTCGAAAAGTAGTAGCATATTCCACAAAATTTTGCTCCACATATTCCACAAAATTTTGATCGTGGAGCAACCGGAACTCACCCTTTTTCGTTTATGTGTATTGAAAAGCAAAATTGTGATTTAATAAAAAGTGAGTACCTTTGGCATATATATAAACCCTCGGTTAACTCATAAAGGTGTAATTAATGATTATTTTAAAACTATCATATATATCCGTATCAATAAGTATAAGTTTTTTTTCATAACCAAATAATCTTATATTACATCTATAATCTATAAATATCAATATAATAAACATATAGATACGTACATATCTAGGGCTGTTAATCAGTCAACCCGAACGGGTTTCGGGTTAAAAAGGTCGGGTAAATCGGGTTTTCACAAAAAAATATTTTAACCCAAAACCCGACTCTATTAAGGACAAGGACAGGTAAGTGTTAATCGGGTATTGGGTTAATAGGGTCGGGTTACCCGGGTTAGTCGGGTTAATACATTAAGAACTTAATTTGGAAATATTTAAAAGATTAATCGGGTTCAGGTTTTTTTGACACTCCTATACATATCTTTTGACACCCCTATCCATATCTACATGCATACACATAAATAAATATAACATTTATAAAGCACATTGTTAACGTAACTTTACTAATGTGCAATGAAAATGTTATAATATTTAAACCAAAAATACTACAATTATTTATAACTTACCAAAATTCTGAAAATAATTTGAATCATATTCACGCATCTTCCATTATTTTCCGCTTTAATGTCTTTTGTCAGGGCGTGTTACTGCAAAAATACAAATTGTAATAATAGTTATTATAAAGTACTAAAAATTTATAATCAATTTTTTTAGTTTCACGACAGATAAATAGTTTATTACCTTTCTTGCTTTCCGTTTCCGTTTTTTTGCAATCCATAATCCTTCATTGTGATCTGATCTTAAATAAGCAGTATCATCAATATCGATATTTGTAGATGGGATACCAATAGAAAATGGGGGTAGCTCGTCAAACTGATTGTATTCTTCCTCGTCCGCTACATTTTCAATGCCAACTATACGTCGTTTACCATGCAAGACAATGTGCCATGTCGAATCTTTTGGGTCCTCCACGAAGAATACCTGGGTAGCTTGTTTTGCTAGAATGAATGGTTCATATGCATAACCATCTGTGGAAAGATCAACAAGTGTGAAACCGTCGTTGTCAATTTTAACACCTTGTCGATTGTCGACCCATTTACACTTCAACATTGCTATAGCAAAGGAATTATAATTCAATTCCCAAATTTCTTGGATGACACCATAATAAGAATTTTTAGCAATCCTCGACCTTGTTTCATGGTTTGTGCTATAAAATTCTGTCGATGATGCTATTAGCGTCACCCCACTATTTTGATGTGTACTTTTATCATCTTGCTTCTTAGTATAAAATGTATACCCATTAATGTCATAGCCTTGGTATGTTGCAACAACATGTTGTGGGCCGTTCCCCAACTCCACTACTAATGGATCCATGTTTTCTCCCCCATAACTTTGTTTCACCTTGTCTTTCAACCATTGTGAAAAAGTTTTATTATGCTCAATGGTCAACCATCGATCACTCTTATTTTTATTTTTTTCTTTTAATAGTAACTTGTGCTCATTTATGTATGGAGCAACCACTGTCATGTGTTGTAAGACGGTAAAATGTGCAATGTGGAAACTATTTCTGTCTGGAACCACCATTTTCAATCCAACTGTCCCAACCCCTTCAAGTCTTCCCTCGTGTCGAGAATGTGGAACCCCTATACTTTTCACACCTTTTAAATAGCTTGTACAAAACTCAATTACCTCTTCTGTGGCATATCCTTCAACAATACTGCCTTCTGGTCGATGTCGGTTCCTTACATACCCTTTTAAGAAACCCATATATCTCTCGAATGGATACATGTGTCGTAAGAATATCGGACCACAAGCCTTAATTTCTCTTACAAGATGGGATATTAGATGAACCATGATATCAAAAAAGGAAGGTGGAAAATATATCTCGAGTTGGCAGAGAGTGATGATAATATCACGTTGCCATGAATCTAACACCTCGGGGTTAATCACTTTCGAATGAATCATGTTAAAAAATAAACAGAGCTTTGTGATTGCATGTCGGACACCGGCTGGCATTATTCCACGAATTGCAATGGGAATCATATGTGTCAACAGAACATGACAATCATGAGACTTCATACCAAGCAATTTCAAGTCTTTCATTGACACCAACTTCTTAATGTTAGCAGAATAGCCGGATGGGACTTTCACCCCGTGCAAACATTTACAAAATTTGGTCTTCTCAGCCTTAGACATTGTATAACAAGTTGGTGGTAGATATGTACGCTTTCCATCACTCTTAACAAGTGCAAGTTCCGGCCAAATTCCCATTTCGACCAAGTCTTCTCGAACTTTGATACCATCCTTCGTTTTCCAAGGAATATTCAATAACAAGCCTATCAAACTTTCAAAAACATTTTTCCCAATATGCATCGGATCAAGACAATGTCGAACTTCCAAGTGCTTCCAATATGGAAACTCCCAAAAAATAGACCTCTTCTTCCAAATATTTTTTGGAGGCTTCTTACAACACTTTCCAAACATAATGTTCAAGTCATTAACTCGTGATAATACATCTTCTCCCTTCATTGCTGGTCTTGTCACTCTGTCTTCAATTTTACCATCGAACAAATGTTTTTGTATACGATACACATGTTTTACTGGAAGGGACCTTCTATGACCCATGAATACATTCTTCTTACAATTTTTTAACCATAATGAGCATGTGTCATCTTCACAAATAGGACATGCCTTTACTCCTTTTGTAGTATATCCTGACAAGTTTCCATATGCTGGAAAATCACTTATGGTGCAATAAATCATCGCTCGGAGTTGGAAAAATTCCTTCATGTAGGCATCATATACTTCTACGCCTGAGTTCCATAATTCCTTCATATCATCAATTAATGGAGCCAAATACACATCAATATCATTCCCAGGTTGCTTCGGACCTTGAATTAGCAAAGTCATCATGATATATTTACGTTTCATGCATAACCAAGGTGGAAGATTACAGATGCATAAAAGTACCGGCCATGTGCTATGGCAACTACTCATGCTTCCGAACGGATTAATTCCATCTGAACTAAGTCCAAACCTAATATTTCTAATCTCCCTACCAAATTCTTCAAAATTGGAATCAATATTCCTCCATTGTGGTGAATCAGCAACATGTCTCATATTTTCATCTATTATACGATCTTCAGCATGCCAACATAACAGTTTGGCTTCTTTGGCATTCGTAAATAATCGTTTAAGTCTTGGTATGATAGGAAAATACCATAATAATTTAGCAGGGGGGCCATTCTTTGTCACATCACTATTTTTTTCTGTTTCGCTTTCTTGCTTATACCGCGATGTTCCACATGTAACACATTCATGTAGGTCAGCAGACTCGTTTCTATAAAGGATACAATCGTTTGGACATGCATGTATTCTTTCAATTTCCAAGCCCATTGGGCACACCAGTTTCTTCGCTTGATATAATGAATTAGGTAACTCATTTTCTTCGGGAAGCATTTCATGCAATATCTCTAATAGGCTTGTGAAACTCTTATCACTCCAACCATTGTTTGCTTTTAAGTTAAGCAACTTTAGCACAGCTGAAAGTTTGGTAAATTTTGTACATCCAACATACAATGGTTTTTCAGAGTCTTCAAACAATTGTTGGAATTTTTGATGATCTTTTTCCGCAACATTATCCTCCAGATCATGCAACATGTCATCTAAACCATCACAACTCTCATTATCCAAATGATCACCAGCCTCATCATGACTACACTCTGGAGCAGTTGTATCATGATCAATTAACAGTTCACCATGTCATGACCATCATGTGTACCCACTCATAAACCCCTCACATATTAGATGTTCTTGTATTATTGCATAATCATTAAACTTATGACAATTTTGACACTTTTCACAAGGACACCAGATGTGATTTTCTCCTTTATTCTTCCGATTATCCTCAGCTACTTTAAGAAAATCAAGCAAACTTGCCAAATATTTTTTGCTAGCACGTGGTATTTCATACATCCAAGTATTGCGATCCATCTGGAATTTAAATAATAAATTAACAAGCAATATGATGCATGCATAATATACAAAATGTTATTCCAAGTGGCAAAAATACTAAACCACTTTTTTAATATTTTTTGTCTATGTGAAGATGAATTAAGATATTGACTCTTTAAGAAGAAACAAACAATATTTCACTTAAACTCTCCATATTTGACTAAAATAATCAACTCTATCTTATGGAAAACATACATGACTTTATTCTCATTTATTTAATTCGAATTGCATCCTATAAACCATATCCATTTTAATAGGTTATTATGTAGTGGAATACATAACTAAATAAAAAACAATGATATCATATATTATTATTATTATCATTATTATTATTATTATTATTATTATTATTATTATTATTATTATTAACAAGTAAAAAACAAAATAAATTAAACAAATACAAAAATGCTTCCTGAAAATAGGGGTCAAATAATCTCACTGCTGTTATTTTTATTTATATTTTAAATTATAATCTTTTCTTAATATTAATATATGATTTTTTTTACTTATAATATATTATACTAGGCCCTCTGGAGTATCGGCAACGAACCTTGTCGTCGTCTAGCTAGCTACTAACCACGAATATGAACACCACCTTGATTCTCTCATTGTGTTGACCTGGAGCCACAATTGTGGTCTCTCGTGCTTCCCGCCACAACCAATCTTCTTCTCTATTCCTCTCTTCTTCTCTGTTGTAGGTGAAATCGACCACCACCACAATCACAGTGTGATGAGTATACCAATTTCGTTATGGAAGGAAGGTGGAAGTCGATGATGCTAAGATGGTGGTGGGGGTGATGGTGGTGTGTAATGATGGTGGGTAGTGGTAAGGTGGGTGGCAGTGGTGGTTGGCAGGTGGTGGTTGCATGTGGTGGTGGTAGTGGTTTCAATGGGTGATGGGTGGTGATATCAATGGGTGATGGATAGTGGGTGGTGGGTGGTGGTAGTGGAGGGTGTTGGTAATGGTGGTGGGTGGTGGTTGTTTGGTGTGTGATGGGTGGGGTGGTGGTGGCGGGTAATAGTGATAGGTGGTGAGTGGTGTAGGTTAGTGGTGGGTAGTAGGTGGTGGTGGTGGTGTATGGTAGTTTTGGTGGGTGATGAGTCTAGTGGTGGTGATGGGCGATGGAGGTGGGTGGTGATCGGTGGTCGGTAGTGATGGTGGTAGGTGGTGGTGGTCGTAGTGGGTGGTGGTGATAGATGGTGGAGGCAGGTGGTGGGTGGGTGGGTGGGGGTGGTGGTGATGTGTGGTGAAGGCGGGTGGTGGTGATGGTTGGTAGGTGGTGGTAGTGGCGAATGGTTGTCATAATGATGGGGGTGGTAGTGATGGGTGGTGAAGGTGGGTGGGTAGTGGTTGTGGTGGGTGGTGGTGGTGGTAGCGGGTGGTGGTGTCGGTGGTGATGAGTGGTGGATGATGGTTGCGGTTGACGGTAGCAGGGGTTGATGATGCTGGTGGGTGGTGGTTTTTGTGGGTGGTGGTGACGGGTGGTGGTGGTGATGGTTGGTGGTGGTGGTGATGGTGATGGTTGGTGGTGGTGGTGGGTGGTGTTGGTTAGTAGGATTTTGATTTTTTTACCTATTTTTTATTTATATTAGAATTATTTGATGATTTTAATTAAAAAATCATTATGGTCAAAATTGTTTATATATATATATATATATATATATATATATATATATATATATATATATATATATATATATATATATATATATATCAGTTAATTGAAACTTTATAATTTTTAAGATCTTTTATATATATTTTAATTATTTATTTGTAAATAAAAAGAGTAAGGTTAATAAAATCTATACAAATAATTAGATAGTGTCTTGTATATTAATCGTATTAATATATATTTTAAAGGATTATTTAATAATTAGTTGTACTTGTAATATAATAATAAGAATAAAATCAAAATTATATTATTTATCTAATAAAATTATATTTTTAGATATATCAATTAAAAAAAGGATCAAATAAATATAAATAGTTATGTCGTGATTGTGTTTCCATATATATTAATATTTAAATATATAAAGTTTTTTTTTTTTTTTTTTTTTGAACCGGCGGGGAATTTTATTAAAGCCACAGCCTAACGAGGCAAAAGCAGGGCAAAAACAAAAACAACACAGCTACAAAATGTCAAAAGGATTACAAACCCAAACATACCAATTACAATTATTAAACTTCCCCCTATGTTTAACCCAATCAAACACCAAAACAAGAATATTATCCACCACCTTAGGAGCATTAGCACAAGTACATCTAAACACTTTTTCATTCCTCGCTTTCCAAATACAATATAGGAATCCATAAACAATCACCAGAAAAATTCTCTTTTTCTTTGGACAATGACCCCAATTAGCCGCAAACTCCACTAACAATGAAACGTTATTGAACGATCG